TACCAAAGCCTAACTGCGGTTGCCAACCTGCTTGCTAAGAGTGGTAACTACTGGAAAATCTCCCCTTATGGGGGAACTGTTTAGAAATGGACAGTTTATGGCTGCTATAACAATTGGTAGGATGGATGACATTTATTTCTTCCCCGTATACCTACATACATATTAGATACATATATTATAATATTTATAATTTTTACCATTATTATAAATGTGAAAGTGAGTTTATTACCTCGTGGCTCGACTAATAGTCATGAAATTTAACAAACACATACATACTATTTCGGATGGAGAAGTACACAGATCCTAGGCTACTTTTTATTACAGTGTAAATGCAGTAAATCAATATTCTCTTAGATATTAATGACAAATTTTTAAAAAACTTACTAGTTCTAGATCACGTGACTAAATTTTGTTTATGATTTGTAATGACAGCACCAATTTGCAGGGCAACTCTATTTAATATGTAAAACTGTCAAGTAAGCACTCATAATAAGCGCCCAAGTCTCTGGTAGTATTTGATAAATAATGATTTATAAGTTTTCCAAAATGTTCCAACATCAAAATGGCTGTCTGGCGGCTGGCGTCCGGCGCGGGGCGGGGGCCGAGTCAATATTAGCGGAGCGGCTGCGCGTGCGCCGGTTTCCGGAACTGCACCTGATCACACAGGCTCTGCCGCGTTTCCATGCTTAATGCACCATACATGGTGTTTATATATGCCGTTGCAAAATCCTAAGAATCATGCTGTTGATCTAGATAAATATCTGTTGGAGCTAAAAATAATAATACATTAATTACCAGGTAGCAGACTAAGTAATTTGTTTTAAATTACTCATTGTAGTGTTCCGCATTAATGATGTAAACCAGAATATAATAATAATAAACTTTATTTCCTTATTCAAAGTTAGCTTACGGTACAATATAACTATGACCTCATACTAGGCAAAGCCTGTCTCGTGGAAGTCAAGGCTAGAAATTTAGAATAACTTGAAAAGACCTATACTTAGCAGCAACAGATGGTTAATTTTCGCGTTGTTTACACATATTTTAAGTACATAATCGGAACTTAACGCGATGTAAAAGCCTTTACAAATAATTAGTGCCTACATATCGATTTCTTTATTTATTTTACCTGTAAAGGTTTTTATATCACCAGAGGGAGACTTTGTACAAAAGTCGATTGCTTGGGTACCTCTGTCCCATTCGTGTTTCAACCGTGAAGCAGTTGTGTTTGTATGGCTGGGTTTCAGTTTGAAGGGTGGGATATGGCGTGAATTTACTGGGTACAGAGGAATAACACCTGAGTCCTTAGGAATGGCAACGCATGGGGGGTATTATAGGCGAAACAGTATATTCTGTTATGTCCATGGTACTGCTCATGTCTATAGGCGACGGTTACCACTTTCCATCAGGTGGGCCGTCAGCTAGTTTGCCATTCTAAATTGTATAAAAAAAAATATCGTGTTAAGTCCTGATTGTGTATTTAAAATATGACGATGATGAACTTGAAAAGGAAGATATCTACAATTTGCTTCAGTTACAATGTAATATCATACATACATCGCAGATTGAGCCTGACCATCATATTTTTTAATTAACTTACATATAAATTATACCATTTTTATTTGTCGAAACTAAATTCCTTTTCCTGTTGATAGTCGAAGTTTTTGTTGTAAAAAAATCCGATAATAATCCATCTATAAGTATGAAACGAGCACAAGAAACAAATCTATTGAATGAAAATAGACTATCTAATCTAATTTAGTACACAATTAGTGGCATTAATACAAAAAAAAATTGCAATATATTTTTTGTAATATCATCAATTTCTTTTGTCGTATAAAGATCAAAGTACCATCGGCCTTTTATGCCCACTTTGATCTTTTTGTGAACACCTTGTGTTCTTACTTCATTAATACACAGAGTTATCATATATATACATTCTGTATATTGATTTGAATTTCTTTCCGCTACCGCCGCTGACACGAAGCATAATGTGCACCATTCAAATATTTGTTAAATTCGAAAAGTCAGGACACGGAGTCAACGAAGTCGTGGCCACCCCACATGTCTCGGGGGGAAAGGGATTGTTAGTAATGGGGTCTAAATGCCTCATTGCTAGCAATATACCCTATTAGGTTAACCTCCACGTGGTTCCCCCTGGAAACCATCGTGGTTAATTCTAGTGCAATTCATCACGATGGGCTAACTGACCTGCTTTCATCGTCACCTATCATCCCTCACTGGTACCCTGCCAGCGTATACCGTTAGCGCAGGCGGGGTTACCATTCCATTATCATCCATAAAAAAAACTTCACATGTCTCACATTTATGTACCTGTACAACATAATTTATTTTTATATAAGTACTGGCTGATCCGAAATATGCTGTTTTGCGCCCTACAGCTATCTGCTGAGTCCGAGAGAGATTGTTAGTGATGGGGTCGAACAATCTCATTGCTAGCAATGTACCTTAGCAGGTCGATCTCCACATGGTTCCCCCTGGAAAACATCGTGATTAATTCTTGTTGAATTCGTCACGATGAGCCTGCTTTTATTCATCCATCACTTGTCACCGGTGTAACTGGTGCTCCGTGGGGGAATAGGAATTGTTAGCAATGGAGTTTGCTAGCCTTATTGCTAGCAATATACCCTATTACGTCGACCTTCACGTGGTTTCCCCTGGAAACCGTCGTGAACAATTCTTGTTAAATTCATCACGATGGGCTAACTGACCTGCTTCATTCTTACCTATCGTCTCTCACTGGTGCCCCGCCAGTGTATACCTACCGATAGCGCGAGCGGGGTTACCACTCCATTATTATCCATTACAAAAAACTGGAGCCCCACCAGCATGTGCCGAATTGTGGGCGGGGATGCCATTCCATTGTCATATATTAAAAAAAATACCTGCCGACTCCACTTTTTTATCTCTCAAAATTGGAATAAAGCAATCTACATAAATAAAAGATCATTAAAATCGGTCGAGGGTTTCGATGATTACCGTAAGTGAACATCGTGACAAGGGTTAATTAACGGCTACTCTTCAATAAAACGCTCCTGAATTTCATTATACGTTCCTTTTCCGCATATAATCATGCATTTCAGTCGTAATCTTTGTTTAAAAATATCTTTTTATCATGTTTTTATTTCTTTTACTATTCTGTTTATTATTTTTTTTTTATTTAATTAGCATGCATAAATACATTTAACAAAAAAACTGGATTTTTAGTACCACTTAAACCTCTTGGGCTTATGTTTGATACTTTACATTTCGTTCTCAAATGTCAATATTTACATTAAAATTCTGCTGTTTTAGCAAGGTTGGACAGTAAATAAGCTTTCAGTTTAAACTTTATGTTTTTAACAGTGATATTGTTTCACAAGTCGGTAGGTAGAGAATTTATTATTGATGGATGATCGCCATATTAGTCATTAACTGTCCACTGCTGACTATACGTTTGCCCCTATTAGGGGATTTTGCCAGTAGTTGCCACACTTGGCAGATGGGTTGGCAAATGCAGTTAGGCTTTGGTGATGTTTTAAAATGGACGCTGCTGTCCATCCCTAGGCAATTTAATTCTCCTAGTCGCCTTTTACGATATCCACGGAAAGGGAAGCGGTGGATTTATAATTTGACCACTGTCCATGGAAGAATAGTAAGCACGATGCTTTATTTAAAGGAGGTTCCAAATTCGAGTCGCGATCGGACAATATTTTTTTTATAACATAGGGGGCAAATGAGCGTGCGGCCTACATGATAAGTAACTGCTGCCGCCCACGAGCACCCGCAACACCAGAGGCATTGCAAGTGCTTCTGGCCTTTTAAAAAGAAATATGCTCCTTTCTCGATGGTTATGATGTCGTATATAAAATATGAGCTATTTTAAACGGGCTTGAGTCTGGAACTCTAGTTGTCTCTGGTGCTGGTGTTCCGAGTGGAGTTTCATCATCCTTGACTACTGTCCCAATTAAAAGTAACTTATCTCTATTTACTTTTATTGGTTATTTGTATCCGGTTATATTTATCGTGTAGTATATAAAGTACTCTATGTGTTAAGTGAGGTTAAAGATGTATACAAGGAGTATTTATACAGAACGTGCATATACAAAAGGCGGCCTTATCGCTACAAGCAATCTCTTACAGACAACCTGGAGGATATGACTTACATGTGTTCCAAATTTCATTCAAATCCATTCAACAGTGATTGAGTAACAAACATACAAACATTTTTTATAAATATTCACATTTATAATATTTGAAACTAACGAGACATATTAGAGGAAAGATTGTTGTAGCGTGATTGATAAACTGCTTGTCTACAATGTTTACGGTCACATAAAAGTTACACGGAAAACATGATTGATGATCATTATGAATTGAAGAAGCTACCAACTTATAAGACAAAAGTTACCAGTTTTGAAACAATTTATAAAATGACTCCATGCTTAGGAATGTTAGTTAGATAATTTTATCAACATGACATGCGTCAACTCAATTAAAATGAAAAGTTTTTTTATTTTTTTTGTATACCACAGAGGTGGCAATCAAGCATACGGCCCACCTGATGGTAAGTGGTTACCGTAGTCTATGAACGCCTGCAATACCAGAGGTGTTACGCACGCGTTGCGGACACTGAAGAAACCTCTTTACCCCCTTTTGAAGAACCCTATGCTGTAGTCTCTTAGGAAAGCCTCGGTAGGAAGCTCATTCCAAAACCCAGGTCATTTTCAAAGTCAACGATTAACCTAATATTTTTTTTATGCAATCTGGTATTTTAAAACTAACACCCTCATCATATCAGCCTTTGAGGTCCCAGGTTCGATTCTCGGTTGGTCCAATTTAGACAACGAATTTTTCCGAATTGGTTCGGGTCTGAATGTTCTGGGTGATGCCCACAGATATTCATTGCCTGGTTCTTTATAATATAAGGTATTGTTACCCTAACTTGAGGACTGGTTTAAAATTTAAGATAGGGAAGGTGGGACAAATAAAACGAATACTGCTTATACTATAAAACTATACTTAATTAACAAAAGAGCGCATGCGTAGACGGCGGTGAGATCACTGTTGCTGCTGGGGTGGGGCGAGCCGCGCGGCTAGCAGCAGTATGTCGCGCTTCTCCTTCGGAAAGCGAAGTTCCCGTGCGGCGAGACGGGCGGCACGGAGCTCCCGCTCGGCACGAGCTAGTTCACCTCTCAGTACCCCCCCGCCCGTGGCAGCCGCTTCCCGTTCCCGTGCTGCCCATTCCCGCGCCATTTGCTCCCTCATTGCGTCATCTAATGCCCGCGCGGAGTAATGAGCCACTACTTCTTGCCGGGAACACTGCCTCTCACGCATTGCGCGCAACGAACCATTCCAGTGTAGGAGCTGGAACACCGTCATCAGCTCTTGGAACTCTAGCATCGTTCGACCCTTGTTTGCTTCCAGCATAAACCTAAATACGAAAACGACAATTAATATTCCTATTGGTTTCTGAACATAAATAATTCTAATCATGTTTCTGAAAATATAAATAATTAACAACATAAAAAATCTGTAATTCGCTTACGTTTTTGTATGAATTATTTTATAATTAAATTGGTTGGGAGCAGTAAATTTCTATTGATAGTCTTAGTGTTTTTTTTTATATACATCTTAGAATGGCAAACAAGCAAACGGCCCACCTGATGGAAAGTGGTAACGGTCGCCTATAGACATGAGCAGTATCATGGACATAACAGAGTATACTATTTCGCTCATGATACGCCCCATGCGTTGCCATTCCTGAGGACTCAGGTGTTATTCCTCCATACTCTGTAAATTCACGCCATATCCCACCCCTCAAACCGAAACACAGCTATGCAAACACAACTGCTTCACGGTTGAAACACGAATGGGACAGAGGTGCCCAAGCAATCGACTTTTGTACAAAGTCTCCCTCTGGAAAGAATAATCTTTTTTACCAGAAAAAAGGTTATTCGGATGCATTTTTGACTTTTCATTTTTTTTTTATATTCCGTCGTCTACTGTGTATTATGATAAAGTTATAATTAAGTTTTACTTTCACCAAAATATAATTAAAATAGATTATAAAAATACTGAAGTACATTTACTTTGCCCTTTACACTACTCAGCTTAATCCATAGCACAAACAATATTATACGATCTATAGATACCTAAATGGATATCAATAAAAAAAAAAACGGAAATATATATGTCATATGCCGTGAAAATAATGAAACTAAATTCCGAATTCTGAATATGGTAACAAAATTGCCCTAAAAATATTACTCTACATAGGATCAGAAATATATAATACTAACCGAAAAGCGGCAATACCAGCACTAGGGTCCTGGTGGTGGGCGGCGGCGTCGCCAGCAAACGAGGCCCTCGCCTCCGCCACCGCCTTCTCAATGAAGTGCTCAGAGATGCGCCGCGACTCGTGCTCGTTGAAAACGCTGTTCATCAGTGCTATCTTGGCTGCACTGCGGCGCGCTTCGGCCTTTGTCGGGCAGTTCTGGTGCAATCAGAATGTATAATTTATAAGCTATTAACCGCGTCTTTGTTCGCATAACCGCGACATGTTAACAAACTAAAAAAAATAATAAAGCATGATGCAATGTATGGTTCCAACTATTATAAAAGTGGATGGTTCTCTCTCTTTGTAAATTGTGATGTCCATACGTAGTGTCACATGTCTTATGTGCTTACTTATTATATTATAATAACTAATTTGTACCATGTGGCATGCTTAGATTATAAAGATAGAGTATCTCCATACAAATACTTCGAGAAAAGCGGCTCAACTTGTTCATACAATTTTGCGTGATAAATAGTTATGAGTGATTCCTTTATAACTTCTATATTTATTTTATTTTATAATTCTTGCATCTTTATAATGCGTAAATACTAATTTTATTTATTAATAATTAAATATAGATACGTCAAGAAACACTATGTGCGTGGGTGTATAGAATATGTGTGTAGATAAAAAACAAGTCAGCTAATTTGACAATTAGTTGACAAAAAGTTGACCCGTTTTTGAGACTCGATGCTCTATCTATATAATCTAAAGGGGCATGCTAATAAATATAAATGAATAAATGCTTATTGAATGCAATAAAAAATACCTTATATCCTTCTTCAAGTCATATAGTACATGTATTCGGTATTGGTTTACCGATTGATAAAACTAATAAAGCGCTACGAGATAACAAACAAACTCACATTCACATTTATAATGTCAGTATTGAAAACACTAGTGCTTTTAACACTCGTTGGTTTTGAATCATAATTTTTATAAGCTTTTATTTAACTTGTTTTCCTAACTGAGTTTGTTTAAGTAAAATAAACTGAACTCTTTCTATTACTTCTAAGAAATGTTTGGTCGGCTTTAAGATACGAATAATATAAATATGGAAATGAGTTTTTATTTGTTTGTTACCTTATGACGCCATGAAAAACTTCATGAAATTTGGTATACACATACTACGATTATAAGAGATGGCGAAAGACATAGAATTCATTTATCCCGGCCGATATCTTGATCACGTGAATGAAGTCGCAGGTAAAAGCTAGTTTTTTTTTATAATAGCTGGATATGTGACGGTGCAACAAATGCCTGCAGAAGCAAGCTTTGGTGTACAATCTATGAACAAGTTCAGTTAGTGACCTAGTTGAACCTATCTCACCGTTTGACTCCACTATGTATATCTTCATTACTTTAGCCGTTATCTGTCCATTGCTGAAAATAGGTCTCCATCATAGATTGAGGGGTTACGCTAATAGTTGCCATGATTAGCAAGTGAGTTGATAATTGTAGTTTTCTTCTAACTGGTGTTAATGGAATGTTACCCCGCCTGCGCTATCCGGAGACGCTGGCGGGGCACCAGTGAGGGATGGCAGGTGAGGATGAAAAGGCAGGTCAGTTAGGGTTATTGTTAGGAATGAATCTATTAGACCTCATTACTAACAATCCCTTTACCCTCTGATAACCGCAGTTAGGCTTTGGTGAAGTTTTGATAGGGAGGGACGCTGCTGTCTAGCCTTTAATCCTTAAGTTGACTTACTAGATATTTTCTCACGCATTTTTTGAAGACCTCAAGATTGTATATATATTACAATCTCAAAGATATCGCTATTTGAATGAATGACAGGACTATAATTCAGACCATACACCTACCTATACATAAATATTACCCCAATCACGATTGCATTGGTCATTATTATTCAATGTTGAACGTGGTTGTCTAGATCAAAGCTAACGCGACACGCATATCTATGAGGCATGTCTTTTATATATGTCCTTCAACAATGTATGAATGAATCTATTATGTAGTGTGAAGTTCTCTGACAGTCTAAGGTTTTCATATGCGAAATGACTAAAAGGAAACTTTTTCTGAGATAAATCTATCTTTAGATGAATGTGATCATCATCATATCGGTCTTTAGCTGTCCACTTCTGAAAATAAGCCTCCCACTTGGGGAGTTTTGCAAGTAGTTGCTATGTATAGCAATGCTAAGTATAGCAGGCGGATTGGTAACCGCAGCTTGTCTTTAAACCTCTTAAAACATCATCAAAGCCTTACGACGGCTGGGCTGCCAATTTTCCAAGCGAGGCCAGGTTGCCTGCCAAGGGTGGTGGCGGTTATCAGAGGGAGACTTTGTACAAAACTCGTTTGCTTGGGTACCTCTGTTCCATCCGTGTTTCAACCGTAAAGCAGTTGTGTTTGCATGGCTGTGTTTTGGTGTAACATCTGAATCTTCAGGAATGGCAATGCATGGGGGGTATCATGGGCGAAACAGTATACTCTGTTATGTCCCTGGTACTGCTCATGTCTATAGGCGACGGTTACCATTTTCCATCAGGTGGGCCGTTAGCTTATTTGCCATTCTAAGTTGTATAAAAAAAACTACTCACAAACCCTCCCTTATGCGAAAGGCCATGTTCAGCAGTGGCCATTTAACGGCTGTTATCATCGTTATCATATTATATCTGTAGTGTGGCTAAGTAATTGATTTACCTGAAAACTACCAAAGCACGCCCCTCCGGGGAGGGTGACGTAACACACGTAGGGCGGGTGCGCCGCGGGTACGGACTCGTAGATGACGAGAGCGCCCCCTCCCCCCGCGGCGCCACCTCCGCGGGATGCCTTCACTTGCCAGAACTCTTGAAGTGCTTCCACCACATTCACAGTGGATAGTACGCCGTCAGCTGTTGGGGAAATATTTAATTAGAAATTACTCAACGACATCGCAAAGTACATATATTACAATAGTATTTATATATTGTAGTCGATTCTAAAACGCTATTCTCTATAAAAAAAATATTTCGATATTATTCAAATATGCACTGCCTACGTATTTCTCGGTTTGCCCAATGGTTGACTGGTAGAGAACACCGACCGGTGTTAAGTCCGCCAAATGTACATAGAATTTTACTGTGCATTAAACTTTAAATAAATAAATAAATATTACAGCAAACTGATTATTATATGGACTAGTATAAACTTAATTTTTAATAAAATTGCAGTAGAAGTGCATTACATTTAACTGATGAAGTATCATACCATAATACTCGTAGTTATGCTAAAGTAATAAATTCAAATTGTAATTTTAAAGAATGGTACTTTAGAATCGACCCCAAAATAATATTTTTTAGTAGTAATTTCTTCCTTTTTCATTCATCATTTTTGCTTTTATCACTAGGAAGTCATAAGAGATGGCTTGGGGTACAAACACAGGGCCTACCATGAAATGTTTTCTGAAATTTCAGGGCCGTACGAAACACAAATTTGATGTTAAAATTACATATTTTTATGGTAGGATTTATGATGAACAAAACATTAAACTCCATTTATTGGGCCGATTTTGGTGAATGAAAACATGAAATTGAGTCTGAAAATTCGGAATTTTATTTTATGGTATATACCCCATATTCTATCAAAGCAAGAGACGTAAATCTCGAAATAAAATTTTACACCAAACTGCCAATGTGGTTAATTATACGCCAAATCAACATGTTTCTCTTAAGAGAAGAAATCCATGCCCAGCAGTGGGATGTTACTAAGACATAACGATATTTATGACATTGAACTCAATTACGAACTATTACTGTTTCTTCATATTGACTAAGATTTTATAGGTACAAAGCCACCTATTTATAGACAATAATCTTTGAAAGATTTTTAGGCAGGCATTTGTTACATTTTTTAATGATTGTCTTTTCAGAACAAAAACTCGAATGAAACAACTAAAAATAACTCAACGTGATTGAAGTAAGGATATTATTATGTTTTTTTTCGTGCTATAAATAAGGTTGTCAAAAGAAAAGCCTTTAAAAATAAACAGATCAGTAATAAGCTAGCTACAGTTGCCAAGGTCTTAATAGATAGGTAGGTGGATTATTTTTAATGACGTTAAAAAATAAAAAAAAATAGTTGCTAAACTCTCAAAATCAATAGGAGATAGAATGAGCCAATAATATAATTTACGCTATTTATTTATTTAAAGTTTATTGACCAATAAAATATGGTACAAAAGGCGTACTTAATGCTATATGCATTCTCTAATAGTCAACCTTTAGGATATGCGGAGATACTCGATGGCGGTTTAAAAAATAAAATTATTAATATTACGCTATCAAATATAGATCAAGATATTAGATATTAGATATAGATATTTACCTAGACTAATAATTTATATACGTATTTAATTGAATTTAAAATAACATTATTGAGGAACATCTAATAACAAAGAAAAGTAATAAAATGTCGTGCAAACTTCCAAAGTCCGTATGCGTGCTGATAATAGCGTACTAGCGTTACAAAAAATGCGTAAGTAATTAGCTGTGAGAGTATGCGAAAGAGTATTTATGGTATTCAGTCAATAATAGTATACTTAAATCTACAAGATGTCCGTTTCCTAACATATTTCCCTGAATAAATTGTAGATAATATTCAATCATTCAGTCAGTGAGACTAGTTGGTTAGAAGATACAAATTGTTTGCTGTTTTAAAATGGATTTTTTGTCTATAGAGCCTAAATAAAATCATAATCCACACAGAAGGACTAAAGTCCATTAAATCCTACTATCCGCGGTATGATATAATTAAATGTAGAACCACAGTGTAATGAACAATCAGTGGTCCAACGCCATTGGCATGTCTCAAACAATTACGTATGCCACATTTGATTACCGTAAAGTTTTATTGGGCCGTTAAGGCGTCAGAAGGTAACAAACAAACGCACTTTTATAATAGACTAGCCGCCGATTTCATCCACGTGGCGGGTATAAAAAATAACTTATGTAAAGTTTTTTTATACCAGATACGTAGACATAGAAAGAGGCTTCCTAGTCTACCTACTCTTAGATTAAGGATTCGTCTTTACACCAATCTCTTAAGAATATATTTATTCTTATAGCCTAAATATTAACTGTGGTTAATTGGATATACAAAACTTTATAGCACCAAGAGGAAACAAACGGATAAATTCATATTCATATTTATAAAAGCTTATTCTAAGATTCTAGTCATCTCAAAAAATATTCAGATATAATATACAAATACAAAGATTAAAAACCAAATCAAAAACTAGAACAGTTAAAACTCAAAATCAAGGTATTGGTTTAAAAGTAAAACTATACAATAAATTTAAATTAATTTTAAAATCTTATTTTGAAAAGCATCCTTTTTACAATGTTTTGGAATTTTTAAACCAAAAATAATCAAATTATGAATTCTAGAAATGTGTGTGTATTTATTTTGTGTCTTATATTACTTTATATCATTCTATTAATTTATAATTATTTACTAATACATGTCTACTTTGAAAATTTGCTGTGATTAACTTTAAAAATGTTGTAACTTAGTGATAATAATGGCCGTTTACTAGTATTATATTTATATTGTAACACATGATGTATCAAAAATGTAATGAAATTTTTTACACAGTTAATAAGAGAAATATGAAAGAAAATTTGAAAATATCCAGTATTGGATATTACGTTCATATTTATATTACATGAACGTCTAAGTTAACAGAAACGTCTAGACTATGTTATTTTCAAGGGAAATCTGAAATATAGTCGCATAATGGATTTAGAAAGTCTAAGACTTTCATTTTAAACCTGATGCCATTCATTAGATATAAAACAATGAACCAATAAAACACTGTATGGGAACGACATTTCAAACAATTTCACATACATATTTTATCTATATAAAATAACAAGGAAACTATTTAATATACTTCAGAAAAAGGCTTCGCAAAAATAGAGAAATACTGAAACAAAAACCGAAATTCCAGAAAAATAGGGAGAAAATGGGATTTTTACCAACCTTTCGTTTGGAGTTAAAAATGAAATTATAAAAATTCTCAACGATAGAGACACTGTTACAAAGTTATGTGGTAAAATATCAATTGTTCAGATCAAAATAAAATATACACTATAATATAATTAATAAGAGTAACATTTTCGACAAAATTTAAACAACCAAACCCAAGCTAACTTTGAATTCATTTTCTAAATTGGCCTGAACACGAATGGAAAAAGGACGTAATTTAAACAAGGTGAAGTAATTATTTTTTAATAGAGAGCAAATTATAACAATCTACAAAAAATGTATATTTATTGATTTATTTATTTATTGCATTCCATAATAATTAATTAATACATAATACATAATTATTACATAAGGTTTCAATTATGGACCTTGTTGGGCACAGCAAGTAGGAGAGAGGAGGACAACACTTTTTTCACTTTCGAAATAGTATATCACGATAAGTACGTATTTTCTAATTATTATTATTCATTATTTAAGTATTATATATAACAACGAATCAAATATAATATAAATTAGGCAAAAAATATCTTGTAATACGGTATATTATATGAATATGCCTGTTGTTACGGCTTTATTGAAAGGAAATCAATGGTGGGTAGCAATTAATAAATTGACAACAAAAATGATAAATAAAAATATAACATTAGAACCGCTTTTAGTAAAATCAAGTATTATTTTTCAACTTAAACAATGTTAAACATAATAAAGTGATTGTTTTATTTATTATTAATGGAAATTAGTTTTTATTTGAATTATTAATGAGTGTCATTTCATTAAATTCGCCCACGGTCTATCACCGTTTTGTATGGAAGCACCGTTCACCATATTTATTTAGGTAAGTTGTAGATTTATTAAGTTACCAAATATCGCAAAATATTTTTGTCATTATGTTACTATTAGATTGCCTCCGATAATTCCGATGTTATTGTATCTATTTTCCGTATATTTCAATTGTAGTGTTAGTTTAGATTTAGTCCAAGTTATATATATATATATATATATATATATATATATATATATATATATATATTGTATTATTCTTTAAGTAGTGCAATAAAGAATGAATAAATAAATAAATATATAGTTTTTAAAAACAAATGCTACTGTTAATTCCGATCGAACTATAAACGTGATATTTAGCATAGAGAGAATTCTATTCTAAATACTATACTCAATTTAATGACGACTGGTTTAACTGTTAAGGTGCTAAGAAATAACAAATAAACAAATTAACTCATTTAAAATTATGTGTTTGTGAACACTAATCACCAAAACCGCTTAACTAATTTCAAATTTTTTATTAATTTATTTATTATTTTGTAGTAAAAAGGTATTGTTGAGTTAGAAATATAAAAAAAAAAATTGAATATAAAAGAATTTTATATTCGGTAAATGATACCTACTGTCGTCGAAACCTAAAGATCTTTTTTAGTTTTCAACAATTTTTTTGGCACGTCAACCTCTGCCCAAATTTTATAGTTACATGGATATTATGACGATAAGAATGTGAATAGAATTGTTGATAAAATAATTTTATGTATTTGTTGATATTAATATTAAAAAAACCCCACTGCATTCTTCCACAAATTGTTATAATAATACCAGATCGAGTTCGCATTTTCAAAAGTTTCTTTAAAAATAGTATGTTTCAACAGTTTATTTATTTATTTACACTTTATTGCACCAAGTAAAAAGAGAAATAATAAATACAGTAAATATTAATGAGAAGTGATACAAAAGGCGGCCTTATCGCTAAGCAATCTCTTCCAGACAACCTTTGGGTAGAGGACATTGAGAAAAAGACAAAGAGTAGGTGGCGCACTATTATATAAATATTATCATATACAAACATATATAGATACATACA